ACAGTGACTTGTATCTCCTTCCCATTTCACTCAACTTTTCTACATGTACTGTTTATTTAGATCCAAATGTGAAATCAGGAGCCAGGCTTTCCTTTTCTAACCTTTTCTGGTTCTCACATCCGTACTTAAGGAATACATGGCAAAGGTGGGAGAATGTACTGTGTTGGACTACAACTCCCATAATCCACCAGCCTCCAGGGCCACTGCCTACAAAATTTTAGGACCTGTAGTTTTTTTTAAAAAAGTAACTTTTCCAGCCTCTATTTATATACATTTTTGGTTGTTATTACTGCTGCAAAATCCACCCCCCCCTTTGTGAACCTGCTTTCTTAGCAATGAGAGGCAGATCTGAATTAAAGCCATAGTTCAATTTCTATGCATTACAAATATGTATATATATCCAAGAGGCTATGGATTTTGTTAGGTTTTTAAGAAGAAATGTAATTAACAATTGGTTAGTGCAGGTGGAGTTAGTGGTGCCTCGCTTGACGACGATAATCCGTTCCGTTCAAATCGCTGTTAAGCGAAATTGTTATCAAGTGAAAGTAAAAAACCCATTGAAATGCATAGAAATTGAAAACCGGTCAATGCATTTCAATGGGTGAAATACCTCATCGTGCAGCGAAGATCCTCCATAAGGTGGCCATTTTCCGATGCCTGTAAAGCGAAGAATCCATCCTGAACACAGCAAGGAGCCATTTTGAAAACCTGACGATCAGCTGTTTTTGATCGTCATGAATTGAAAAATCAGTTCCCGAAGCAAGGAACCGATAATCGTCAAGCGGATTTTCCCCATTTAAACATCATTTTGCGATCGCAAAAAACTCATCGTAAAGTGGATTTGTCATGGAGTGGGGTAATCATCAAGTGGGGCACCACTGTATTTAGTCACTGCCTATGTGACAAGGAGGACACAGCTGTGTGAAATTAACTACCATGAGGTGAACCACTTCCTGTGTGCCTTACTACGCTGGAACTTCTGGTCCAAACCTTCGTAAGGAGAAATCTTCTGCTGTGATTGTAAACTGGTAACAGATTTAAGGTATAAACTAGCTGCTGGCCAAGGATTTCACCACCATTGTCATCATCCAAGACCCTTGCTATATTGGACCCAGCATATATTCAGTCCAGCATTATACCAGATGCTTTTGGGAAGCACCTCCAGTGAACACAGAAAAGCTAGCCAGTACGGTTACTTTTCTAAGCTTTGAGCTCAGCATTGTATAAAGAACTGATGCCCTGGAACCGATATACTGCTTTTGAAATAGAACTTGTTTTGGCCAGTTATACACAGTGGTTCTTAACCTTTGTTACTCAGATGCTTTTGAACTGCGACCCCCAGAAACCCCAGTCAGCACAGCTAGTGGTGAAGGCTTCTGGGAGTTGCAGTCCAAAACTCCCGAGTAACCCAAGGTTAAGAACCAGTGAGTTATAGCACCTTATCTCTCCCTCCAGTAATTTAAAAGCTGTTTAGACATGTTCATTGAACATAAGGCTTTTAATGACTACCAATCATTATGACTCCTTACCAGCATCAGAATCAGTAGCTACTTGGTTCTGCTGAGGGAAAACAGTAGGATTTGGGGATGCCCACAGATTTATTGAGTTACTATGGAGCATAAAATGGCTTTGAATTGATCTAATGGATCCCTACTTGTGTTTGTCTCGTCCCCTTCTAAAACTATCCAAAGGCTCTTCCAGACAGAGGCTTTAACTTGCCAGGTTTGACATTGATTGTATCAGAAATTTTCTTTAGTCCAACTACTTTCTTCCTATCTTGTTTCTTTCCTTGGCCTTTTTTTGTCCTGCCAACATTCTTGGTTTATGTTTTGTTCCATTTTGTACCGGAGCAGGAGAGAAGTTAGCACTATGCTGGCCCCTACTGGTCTCCAACATCCAGCTTTTCAAAATTTCCATATGTTCAATTAGAATTTTAGGAAAAAGTCCCTGGCCAATGGGTAGTGCAGGTACTGGGCAAGTACAGCGCTGAACTGGAGAAACAGTTTAGCTCTAAACCACCCACCTACCATGACAATATAATTCTTTGCCAATCCTGTCAACAGCAAGCGAAAGAAAAAGAAGTTGAAAATGGAGGCACAAAAGCACTGTCCGGATCAGCCTCTCCACAGTTCACGTAATCTTCTGGCACAGCTGTCTGGAGAATTCCAGGAGTTATAGTCCAAAAACATCAATCTGCACAGCTCTAATAATTATGCATTGTGTTAAGCCATACCTCCTTTTATCTATTCTGAAGCCACTTGCCCATCAATGTTTGTGACTCCATGTTCTAGCATTAATGAGCGATGAAGGAGAGAAAATTATTTCCCTTTTCCATACCATGCTTACTTGCATAAATCTCTTATCATAGTTCTGCCCCCCTTGAATTAAAAACACACAAAAGACCTCATCCTTCTGCAGCTAAATCTGTGGTCCACGGGGAGATGTACATACTTTAATCTTTACAGCAATCAAGGCTCAATTCAGTTTAGTAGTTTAAAAAGAGGTCAAAGCAGCACACCTTCCCTGACAGCATTCAAAAACAAAACCAAAGTAGGATGATATTCAAGTCCCACCAACACACCGAGTGGCGCTGAAGGCCTCACAAAGTACAGTTGGCAGCCAAACTATTTGAATTCATTACCTTGAAGGTGGAAGAACAAAACCAAAGAGAAATGGCCTTATTGCTAGGTAAACCATCTAAAATCCATGCGTCAGTGGGCTAGTAAGTGGGAAATTTATGATGCAAATTGTAATTCATAATTAGAAACAAAGTGACTTGATTATATACCATGCCACAGCACTTAAAGCAATTTCTGGATAGTTTTCCATTTAATTATGCAAGCCGCACATTCAAGAACTGTACAGAAACATACAAACTTGCCATCTACTGAGTCATCTTGCCATCTAGCCCAGTACTGCCAACTTGGACTGGCAGCAGTTCTTCAGTATCATGCATGATTTTTTCCCCAAGTTCTACCTGAAGAGCTCTGGAATTCCTTGGTTTCCCATTCAGATACTAAAGCAAAAGGGTGCTGCTTATATGTCGCTGTAGCGCTTAAAGCTCTCTCTAGTTTACAATTTAATTAGGCAGGCTGCACATTGTGCTCCCTCCCCTGTGAGCTGGGTAATCAATTTACTGACCTGATAAGGATGGGAATCGAACTCAGGTTGCGAGCAGTGTCTTGACTGCTGTTTAACCACTCTCCCTCCAATGTGAGCTGGGTAATCAATTGACTGACCTGATAAGGATGGGGATCGAACTCAGGTTGTGAGCAGTGTCTTGACTGCTGTTTAACCACTATGCCACAAAGCTTCTAAGTCTCTCCCTACCTAGCTTACAAAATCAGTACATTTAGGCTGACATATTTGTATAAACATGTAACTTGCGACCAACATAAATGGCTGCACATCTTTAGAGGATCATACATATGCTTCTCACATAGGAGCATTCACTGGAATTTTAAAGTGCACGTAGGTTGTGTGTCTTCATGCATGGCATTCCAAACATCCATGGAAAGCCTGTGTCCGAGGCCATTTTAACGCATCAGGGTGGCCTAATACTGGCTCCTTTGTTTTTGTTCATCGTTATTTTGGGGCACAATTCGTCCCTGCATGTATGGTTAGCAAGGATTCTGGGATGACATACTGTATTACAAATGGTTTTGCTCCCACTAGGGGTGCAGGGTTAGGGTTCATCATAGTGCGGACATTTCCCACTAGAATATAATCTGCACTACGAGGTGCCTCGTCTCTGAAGTAGTTGTCAACATGCTGGAAACAGAGCAATGGTTCCCAAACCTCGGATCTCGAGAAGCTGAAGGAGAAAAGAAAAACTTGGGGACCCAAGTTTGGGAACTAGTGATCTAGAGCACTGGTTCTTAACCTTGGGTTACTCAGGAGTTTTGGACTGCAACTCCCAGAAGCCTTCACCATCAGCTCTGCTGGCTGAGGTTTCTGGGAGTTGCAGTTCAAAAACACCTGAGTAACAAAGGTTAAAAGCCACTGATTTCTAGAGCTTAAGCAATTGATGATGATTGGCACAAAGTATATCAAAATCCTCAAACCTCAATTATTTCTGTAACTTAAGAAACAGGAACTTGGAAGGAATATTTTGTACTAGAAAAAAATAGGGAGGAATGAAAAAGTTCCGGCAATCAGATTCTGAGGCATCCTACTTCACCCATGGAATTAACTACAGAGAGGGAAATTACCTCGGATTTTAGGATTTCTTGATTTAAGCGTCTTGGGAAAACCCCCGGGTACTAACAACTGAACAGCAATCGAGCATTTAAGGAATTATCTTAAGCTCTCAGCTGTTCCAAGGAACATACAAAACGCAACAGCCTCTATTTTTTTCAAGGTCTCAATTTAAAACCACCATATTCTGCAAAACACAATCATTTTTTGTCTAATCCTCAATCCACAAGAGTGGACAGCTTTTCACATACGTTCACACGAAGCAATGGAGCGAAACCATGTGGATCTTAAGCAAACACTGCATTCCGAAGCCTGTCCGCTCAGAAGTGTTGATGAGGCCTCGTTTCCTAAAAATGGTACATAGTATTTGAATCGGAGGCTGCAATCCTATAACACCTTTTCACGACTAGGACCCATTGAGATCAAATGGAATTTACCTTCTGAACGCACATACACCATCTAATGGAAAACACATACAGTTAATAGCACTCGACTGTAGGTTGCCTGGAGACAAAAAGGACTAGTGTGGACAGAAATCTGAGTGATGTTAAGAGTGCTTTATCTCCAGCCTTTTCCAGCTGTCTAGGAAAAAAAAAATCCAGAGTGCTGCTTTGTACATCTCTGCACAGAAGAGAGTTCATGGCATCTATCGCCACATAAGTTAGTAAAGGATTCCAGCCTATATGGTTCATCCTTCTTCATATTTACCATCCAGCAAAAATTAGGATGAAAAAGAAAACCATCTTCGTTATCATTCTTCTAGGGAACGCAAGCTTAAAAGACCGTTGCCATTTACCCTATTGTAAGACAGAAATGTTCATTTATTTATACACCAATAGCTGCAAAGTGATACATTCAGTTCTCATGGGAAATAGTTCCCTTTCACCCTCTCTACCTTTTTAAATATTCCCCCACCATGAAAAGCAGAAGACTGTTTTTTAAAACAAATTCTTCCCTTCATAAAAGACAGGATCAAAGCAGTTTGATGTCTAGGCAAACTGTTTTTATCAGGTGGGGTTAGTGGTTAAAAAAAAAAGCAATTGATCTCCAGCGGAAAGGTCTCCGATGTAAATGCCGAGCTCCTTGGAAGCAGTAGATCTTTTTGCTCCATATGGGCAACATTTGCTTGGTGTTTTTTTAACAACAACTCCCCGTATCTCATTGGCCATGATCATTATGGAACGCTGGCAGCTGTGGTTGCCAAACCCAAATGTTGCCCCATTTTGGCCCAATCCTGATTATAAGGTTGTATGCGAGTCCAACAAAGATGGGTACACAGAGATCTCCCTATTGCTGGAGCTCCCCCCCCCCACGGAGCTCAATAAAATGCAAGCTTTTCAGTGGAGACACTCCCCACAAAAAAACGATGCACTTGATTCAGCTTTCTTGATACTCAGACATGATTTCTCTCTCTCTCTCTCCTTCTAATTTACAATAAAAACTTAATCAGTAAATCCTAATCCACCATTTTGTGAAATCAATAAGTTACACCCAATTCAAGTCCTATCTAGAATGGATCCCCTGAGATCAATGTGACTTTAGTTGTAACCAAGAAGCCTCATATATTTCACTGGGTTGACTTGATGCAGGACTAATGTTGATTTGAGCCCCCTTTCCTGTTTTCCCAACAATTCTTGCTCAGAGGAAGCGAGAACAACCTGAAAAGGCAGCTACATGATTATGGAAGGTTTCCTAGATATCCCCATGGACAGAAAATTAGATCATTGTTGCAAGATATCCCATCATCCTTTGGAAAAGCACATAAGCAAAACATGGCTTGTTCCTTAAGCACAGCTAGGTTTCCTGTTCAGACGATTCTGGTTTTCGGATTTTGTGCAAAGGTGGGGGGGGGAGTGTCGGCGGTTGCTAAGGTGTGCTATGCAACAGTAATTAGCACTTTACACCACTGCGATCGCGATCAAGGCCTCTCCCACCCCTAGGGTTCAATTGCTCCTTCTCTTTTGTCTTCCCCCTTCATTTTCTCGTGACCCGCTCAGAGAGAGAGGCTGTTAAGTCTGCAGTTTGAACTGGTAGGTGCTCGTTTTCCATTGGTCGACATCCGCGTTGAGCATGGTGCGCTCGGTGAATGTGACGTGCCCTTCCGCATCAATGAGAATGACTGTATTCGTCCTGAAAAAGCAGGGGGCAGGGGTTGAAAAGAAAAAAAAGGAAGGGGATGAATAAGATTCAGCAGGGTTTCCATAAAGCCATTGCCTGGGCTTCTAATTCCTCATTTTTCCACCTACTTCCCCACCTCCCATGGTAAACACAGCAATGAGTTGTGTGCTGCAAGAGGGGATCATTCGCATCAGAAACAAGACAAGTGCTTTGTCTTTCTCCCCCCTCCCAAACCCCATGGCTGAATTAAGCCTCTTTGCTTTGCTTTGTTGTTAAGCTTATAAATGCAAGTTGCACAGAGTGCTTCACTGGGGACCTGTAAGGAAAATAGATGAAAAACAAAGGAGACGAAGGGGCTACGGGTTTAACTGTCATTTTTCCAGAACGATCCTAGCATGGAAACAAATTTTATCAGGAAGCAACAGACCTGCTGCAAATGAACTCGGAGACACGTCGTGTGTTACACCTCTATGCACAGCCCCGCTGTGTCACATTAACTCACCTTTCCCATCGCTCCTTTGATCTCAGGCACCCGTGCCAGTTTCCATATCAGAAAATACACATGCATGTATTTCCTTACAGAACAACAGGACACAGAGAATTTCATAGAAGGGTTTTTGCCAATCAGCTGTTTCTTTGGTACAGTTATTCACCGCCACCCACAAATCCAAAATCAACTACCAGTACTCACAACTGTGATTCATGCTAGTGAATAATATAATAATAATAATAATAATAATAATAATAATAATAATAATAATAATAATAGGAAGAAGAAGAACAATAACAATCATTATAATCATCATCATCTCATCTGGAGAGCCATATTCAGATGACCTCTGACTGCACATGGTTTAAAAGACATGTAATGGACAGGAAGCTTTTTTAAAATGCCAAACCGGTTATTTACCTGGTTCCATAATCTGGGCAACGAACACACACAGCCGCGTATTTGCTCAGGATTGGGATGATGTAGTCCTTCCCTTGATCCTCAATAGCTGGGTCTGGCAGTTGACTGAAGGGAAGGCAAACAAATACTGCTGACATATGGTGCTTCCACTCACAGTGGGTAAAAATCCATTATTTTTAAAAACCTCACTGATTTAAATCACACTTTAAATCATGATTTAATTTTTTTTTTAATCAGCTTTTTTAAAAATCCAAATCAAACCCACCCTGCTTCTACTCATCCCCATTCAACGCATGCCATCATCCCAGTCTGGTCAACGCCCAGGCATCCTGGGCCAGGCTGTGATGGAGGGCTGTCTCCAAAAGCACATACAGTTGTTTTGAACTCTGTATCTCAATCTTGGCTTCACCAGTGGACGTTCTGGTTGCAGGATTCTGGGAACTATAGTCCAAGAAGGATCTTTTCCAAGCTCTGTTTATAAAAGGGATCGTATGTTTGGTGGAGATTTGTCTGTCAACTGCACATTACTGCCCTCGCCACCCCACTACTACAACCACTACCACTACCACCAAGTTTCCCCAAAAACAAGACAGGGTCTTATATTAATATTTGCTCCAAAAAAACACACATTAGGGCTTATTTTCAGGGGATGTTTTATTATTATTTTTTTCATGTACAACAATCTATGTTTATTCAAATACAGTCCTGTCATCTTCTGGTTGCTGCACAAGGGTGGAGGGCGGGATTTCACATAATTAGGGCTTATTTTTGGGGTACGGCTTATATTAGGAGCATCCCGAAAAATTGTACTAGGGCTTATTTTCAGGTTAGGTCTTATTTTCGGGGAAACGGTACTACTACTGTACTACTACTACTACCACCAACAACAACAACAACAACAACAAGAACAACAATAATATGCTGTCCCTTTTTCAGAGTTTTCTAGGTATGTACTCAGAAGTGGTTGACCATTCCTTTCCTCTAGGGGGCACCCTGGGACTGTGCAGCTGGCCCAAGGCCACCCAGGCTGGCTCTACTCCCAGGAGGCCCAGTGGGGAATCAAACTTCCAACCTCTGGCTCCGCAGCCAGAAACCTAAATCACTCAGACAGATAGCCACACAGGGCAACTTAAAAAACAACAACCATCTGCGCAGCCAGAAACCTAAATCACTAAGACAGATAGCTACAAGGGCAACTTAAAAAACAACAACCATCTGCTCTGGCAACATATATCTGAACTCTTGCCGTGAAAAGAAAACTAGAGTTAGAGCTTTCTCCTCTTGCTTCTGCTCTACGACCCTGCTGCTATTTCCTCAGGCTGTCGTTCAGTTAAACAGCGCTTCAGATCACATCCGCTTTAATCAGTAGTGGTTAACAGTGAGTGGATTTGCATGTAAATACAACAGGACATCTGAAGAAAAACACATTTTGTGACAGTTTTTTAAAAAAAACAAAACACTTGAGCTAGTTTTTAAGCAACTGAAGTGTGTACCCTGAAGGCTCCAGCTTAGAACACAGACTCCCTTCTGTGTAGGAAGTTAGGAGGAATGTAAGATGACGCCTGCCATCCATAGACTTTTAAACAGTTGTGTTATAAACAAACAGTGAAAAACAAAGCCTGCCACCCGATTAACTGCAGCCAACTTTTAGATCCAACTTCAGCCTTTATATGTGGAATCTTCTCTCTGCACTGCCATCATATTTACCAACGACTTCTTCGCACTTTAGTTAATTAGGCTTAAAACACTTCCTGTTTAAATCTAATTAACGAAGGATAAGAAATTTTTAAGCCAATCTGACAAATTGTTCTCTCTGATAGCAAAACGATATGATCTATTTCCAGTGGTCCTGTTATTCTCAGCCTTTTTTAAAAAAATCATGTTTGATTCCCAAGGTAGGATATAATGAAAGTATCTTGATAATACAAATAACACTGAAACAGAGGGTACTTGTGGTTCTTCCTGGACCTCTCTTAGAGTCAGCTTTGGATTTAAATGGTTTCAATATAAAGTACATTTTAAAGTCCAAACAAGAGACCACTCAGATTAGAAATAGATAAGATAAGGCAAAGGAACTTTTAGTTTTTTAATATAAAGAAAATAATTTTGGAGCTTCTCACAAAAACTTGGTGCACAGCCTGAGAAAGATGAATTATCATTGAAAGCTTGCTTTGTTGTTTTTGTTTTTTTTGTTTTAATGGTCCAATAAAGGTATCACCTATTCCTGCATTTATCTAGTTCTGTACATCTGGCATCCAGTGCCAGCAGGGTTGGGACTCTCTTGCCCCCCGCCTGTGTCCGACTCTTTGTGACCCCATGGACCAGAGCACGCCAGGCCCTCCTCTCTTCCACTGCCTCCTGGAGTTGGGTCAAATTCATGTTGGTCGCTTCGATGACACTGTTCAACCATCTCGTCCTCTGTCGTCCCCTTCTCCTCTTGCCTTCACACTTTCCCAACCTCAGGGTCTTTTCCAGGGAGTCTTCTCGTGAGATGGCCAAAATATTAGAGCCTCAGCTTCAGGATCTGTCCTTCCAGTGAGCACTCAGGGTTGGTTTCCTTCAAAATGGATAGGTTTGTTCTCCTTGCAGCCCAGGGACTCTCAAGAGATTCCTCCAGCACCGCAACTCAAAAGCATCAATTTTTCAGTGGTCAGCCTTCTTTATGGTCCAGCTGAAAACTATAGATATGCAAATCCTATATATAGCATAGTTTCTGGTTCCTTCTAATGGCCAGTTCTGGTAAAGTACCTTGGAAACATGTATTTCTGGTTTTTTAATTTAATATTTTCAGGCAACGGATCACTGAAACTGTGGATAGCAAAACGATATGATCTATTTCCCACAGTAGGTCTGCCATATCCCACAGATATGGCAGACCTAATGTATTTTAAGGCGTCCCTCTGACAGTACCCATCGCTGAAGAACCAATAATCAGTGTCCGCTTGTTTTTAATTTACCAACAAATTACAGTTTCAGAGGATTCGCATGTTCCTTCCGGGGGGGGGGGGGGAAGCCCCACAATGGTAACGTAAAGCAACACACAAAGGAGAAACTTACGGTTCTTGGTTGTTCATCACTTTGATGAGTTCTTGCACGAGCTCTTCTTTGGCAAGGTCTGGGCTGCGCTTGATGACGTCTCGAAAGAGCTGCTTCCCATACTGAAGTTTCTTCCATGGCGTGTCCAACAAGGAATTGCTTAAGCCATACACCCCTGGTGTGCGAGAGGGAAAGAACACAATAAATGCCTCCCACAGATGAAATGACCCTCCTTTTCAAATCCTTCCCCAATGAGCCAAAAGTCAAGAGACTGGCAGAGGTCAGATAAATTACTTTTTTAAAAAGCTTCTAATTTGGAAGATTCCCTAGTCAATGTGGCTGGAAGGTTCTTGGACACCTAATCAAAAGAAGTAATTTGTCCATTTCTGCTGTTCATATCCCGCTTCCCTCCTCCCCACCCGGGAATTTGCATTCATGTTGCTATGGTACTATGCTTTTCATATTTTATAAATGACGAGATTCCAGCATGCAAAAGTCCATAAAACCCAAGAACCTTCAAAGACAGATGTGATAAGCTAGAACCAGCAGCTAGACAAAAACCACAAAGATTTAATACCAGCAGCACTAATTTAATTTAGCTACACTCCTATTGAAAACCTGAGTCTGTTTTTACAGCTATGTTGCTGGGCTGCTTCTTAAGTCTGGCATTTACAGTACTTGATTTAAATTGTAACATTTTAATATGGACTTTTGCTGTTTTTGCTATTGCTATATTAGTGGTCTAAAAGAGTTATTGAGCCTGTTTTTGTGTGTGCAAATAGTTATTATTCTTATTTATGAGAGTAATGTTTTCCATATATCCAAGGAAGTTTTAATTACTGTATTTTGGTCAGTATGGTAATGTGGAAATATATACTGTATTATACACCATGATATGTTCATGACTATGCTTTTGTTCTTCCTACAGTATATACTGAAGATTTGTTCTGACAAGCCTGCTTTAAGTATGATTGGAAGAAGTGGCATATAAATTAACTGAACAATGATTTAAATTGTTCCAATTGAATCGTGACTTTCTCATCGCTTCTAGACAGTTATTAACTGTCATGCATAATGCATTCTGTAGGTACATTCCACTTCATATACCGAGCTGTCCATACGATTCTGCCTTACATTTGTTTAATTGCATTTTGATCCTGCTTTTCTTCCACTATAGAACTTACGGCGCATGTCACGGTTCCTAGGTGGGGCCTCCCATCTAGGGAAATTGATCAGAGCCAAACTTGCTTAGTTTCAGCAAGGTTGCTGCGTAAATTATGCTAACAATAATATCTTATTTTTTTCTGCAGCATTACTTTCAACCTGTACAGTGTGATGAACTATTCTTATAAGCAGAATTATAATTCAGTCACATTTATGATTCTCAATAGAATGCAACTCAAAACCATGGCAGTCTCACAGAAGATCTGAATTAGTTTTGGGGATTTAAAAAAAACGTATCAGTGTTCAACACAACACTTACATATACGGCTAAATCCAACTAGAGGAGATCCACTGAATTAGTGGGATTTACATAAGTGTTACCTTATTCACTGATTCAAGTCTGGGACTACTCTAGTTGGCACTAAATTGAATTTAGCTCATAAATATTTGCTGATATGTCCTGCTCAAATGGCTCTGGGGATTCATTATATGTAATTCAAACTAGTCTGATGAAGTGGCCATGAAAGCTCACATTTTCAAATATAAAGTTAGTCTTTAAGGTGCCACTGCGTTTTAGTCTTTTTTTTAACCTTTTATTTCTATTTTGCTTTTCTCTGTCATGCTTGCACAGACTAACATGGCTACCCTTTCTACAACTCAGACTAGTACAGTATCTATAAAATATTACACACGTTATAAAATGCCCACCACACGTGTTTAATAACTTTAAAATGTACCATCGCTCAGAATGGACTGTACCACACTAAGGACTCTACGTTTCATATAAAAGCTTGTGCTGCAGGGTCAGAAGACCAAGCAGTCGTAAGATCGAATCCACACGATGGAGTGAGCGCCCGTCGCTTGTCCCAGCTTCCGCCAACCTAGCGGTTCGAAAGCATGCAAATGCAAGTAGATAAATAGGGACCACTTCAGTGGGAAGGTAAAAGCATTCCGTGTCTAAGTCGCACTGGCCATGTGACCATGGAATATTGTCTTCGGACAAACGCTGGCTCTATGGCTTGGAAACGGGGATGAGCACCGCCCCCTAGAGTCGAACACGACTGGACAAAAATTGTCAAGGGGAACCTTTACCTTTACCTTTGCTTCAAAAAAATTGCATTCTAGAGTGCCATCAATTTAATCTCTAGTTTTGCCTGATTATTATGACTTCCTGGTTTCTGGACGCTACTGTTCTCAGCCAAAACAGAAGCTATGGGCTTTGCCATAAAGCACTGAGAATTTTCATAGTGACTGGCATCTTTGTCTATCAAAATTGGAAAGACAGTTGACTCTACAGCCCCCAAGATGAAGTCTACTACCACCTCCTCCTTGCCCACACTTTCGTGGAAGTGGGAAATACTGGCTATCCTGAGTTTAGATTATGTGGTTCTAAACATTGGGTTGCACCCAAACCACTGTCTCAACATTCCTCAGCCAAAATGTTTCTCTCTTTTCTGTACCTTTCCCCCACTTATTTTATTGCAAATGATCACCTTCAACTTCTGTTTTTCATTAAGGAACTGAAGGATTCTTGCTTTCTACATCTTATGATTTCAGCCGAAAAGCACCACGATCGAATCAGTCTCTGACACAGAGTTTTTGAGCAGGATGGGCGGAGAATATTTTCCATCTATGTGGTTTTGTATCTTGCTAAACATTTCCTGCGTCTGGTCAGGTAAGCTGGACATCTAAAACATTTATATCCACCCACTCTCCATGTGTAAAATGGAAATTAACGACCACAGTGCATGGTTGCAAAAGATGTACGACAAGTGTCAAGTGTCATTCTGCATATTAGAAAACATGCCTAATGAGCATTGTAATGAAACCTGCAAAACACCCCACCAATTAATCTCAGTCATTGAGTAAACTGTTCATTACAGATCTTCCTGGTCTGCAAATTGCAACAGGGTCTTTTCTTAGTGAGAAGCTTATTCATCGGGGCCGGCCCTACATTAGGCCAAATGCGGCAGAGGCTATGTGTATGTGGGAGGGCAAGCAGCCACTCCATCATTCCTGTTACATTTTTTTCCCGACAATTCTCCTCTGCTGGAGGACAAGAGTTGCGCATTAACAGCCACCCTAAAGATTCACCTACCGGCAAGCCTATTATTACTAGGCAGTTAGTGAAAACACAATTGTACAGAGAGGTAAGTTAAAAGAGTTAAGATAGCTGCTGCTTTCTTGAGAAGACCAGGAGGTGGAAGGAAAATAAGGAAGAAAGAACATCCAACAATAATCTGTTCTACTATTAGGCAAACTGAGCCTCAGACAACAGATGTTGAGTGATAGCGTCTCCGTTCTTACTGAGTCCCTGTGACCATTTCCGGCTCTTGGAGAGCAAACTGTGTTCCACACGGCTTGCTCTGCACCTCCTATTTCAGCCACCATATGTGACAGAGGTCCTGTGTCACTTGAGTACTGAAGACAGGATACATCTGCCGCTCCTGTCGTTTCTACCTCAGATAGCTAAATGTCTTGGGAGACCCTTGCCATTCATCCTGGGTGAACATACTGTAAGCCACAGATCTCTGGAGATCCCAACCAGATGCCCATGAGAAGCCCACAAGCAGTCAAGAGCGCCCTCCCATTTCTATGCCCTAACAGCTGGTCGTGAGCAGCACACCCCTCCAATTACCAGAGGCAACGTTTAGCTATCATGACTTAGCAGCTCCAGGAACAGCTTAAAGATTCCCTGGGGAGCACCGATCATGAAGCAGAAGTCTCTATCTCTCTCTCCCTTGCTGCCTGTCTCGGTCCATGGCAATCGGAAGGAGGCAGAGCACAAATCACTTTCAAGCCGAGGTGGAAGCACTGTATACTTCTGCATGATGAACACAATGCAGACAGGGGCTGCTGCCCTGGTTCAAAGCTGCAAAAATGCCGACAAGCAACACAAGCACCGCACCCAGATAATTGGGTCATGGCAAGGAGTCCATGGCAATCGGAAGGAGACAGAGCACAAATCGCTTTCAAGCAGAGGTGGAAGCACTGTACACTTCTGCATGATGAACACAACGCAGACAGGAGCTGCTGCCCTGGTTCAAAGCTGCAGGAGGACTTTTACAAGGAGCCTTCCGTGCCGACAAGCAACACAAGCACGCACCCAGATAATTGGGTCATGGCAAGGACGCAGAATGGCTGAGATCCTGTTCTATAACTCGCCGAGCCTCGTGGTTCAACCAGACCCAATCTCGCCTGTTCTTCAGACAAAAGACGGTGAAACAATCAGCGCAGGAGAAGGGCCCCTTGTCAAGGGCTTAATCAATGGCACTTTATCCGCTTCAAACGCACAAAGGCACATCTCTCAAATAGGCTCCTTAATGGTGTGCGGCAAGGCTGGCTCACAGCAAAGATCTATCTCTTAACAGTGCCCTACATTTGCTGGCCATCATCCAGAAGAATGAGCACTGGCTGAGTAATATAATGATGTCTCCAGCAGCTCCTCCAACATCAGCAGCTCTCCTGCAGGGCCCACATTTCACAGAGAACGCATTCCTTCTCGAGACAGAGAGAACAGGGATCCTCTGGGTGTCTGATCCTCCCATTGTCTCCTAGCGTGTGAATACACGGACACTTCTTTTTCAATACAGCATAAAAGCAGACAAACAAGAAAGGCAGCATGCTAGAGGTCTCCTGGTCAGCCCGGTCTAAAAGCATCCTTCCACCCTGGATTCGGAGTGGCAGTTATGAATGAGGAAGAGGCGTTGGGTTTTATTGCCATTCTTCTGTTTATTTTTGCCCGTGGATACATGAGGTGTCTTACCCAGCAGCTTGCCTATCAGGCATAGGCAAGCGCCTGATATCCAGATGTTTTGGATAACAAATCCCATCATTTGTTCTGGCTTCGGGGGGGGGGGGTGTTTACAAGAATCATACTCAAAGACACCTGGGAGACACCAGGTTGCCAGCTGAGGGCAACCTGCCTTTCTAAGGCAGGGCTGGGGAACAAGTTGCTCATTTATGTGAGGCATCATTTTCTTCCCCGTAAGTCCTGCTGCCTCTCCCCTTCCCTAGAAAGACTCAAGAGAGGCTCATCTGGTGATATTAAAGAAAGAAGACTACAAGCAAGGCACAAAACAAGACTGATGATCCACAGCTGAATTCAACGTTTTCAGGTTAAAGCACCGGAAAACACAATTATGAAATCATATCGCTGAAAAATGGATCATCATCATCATATGCCCTCAGGTTAATTCTGACTTTGGCAACCCTTTTACAGGGTTTTCCAGGTAGAGAATATTGGGAACTGGGTTACCATTCCCTTTTTCTGGGGGTACCCTGGGATTATTCAGCTTGCCCAAGGTCACACAGGCTGGCTCTACATCGGAGGAAGCACACTTTGGAGGAAGCACAACTCCCAACCTCTACCTAAACTACTGAGCAACCCAGACAGCTACGAAATGTATAGCACAGTGATAAGTGCCATCCTCAGTAGGATGTCAGTTGCCAAAAACCTGCCTAAATGGAGGGAAACAATAGTATTTTCTTGTCCTGGTAAAGAAGGGGGTCAATTCAGCCTCCCATAGAAGATGGCTCCTAATCCTGGGAAGAAAGCCCTCACTGATGACATCTTGCTCGCATCATCCATCCCCATTAGGGACTCAGGAGAATCAGTCTTCACAACATCTGGAGGCAGGTCTTAAGTACAGCGGTGCCTCGCAAGACAAATTTAATTTGTTCCGCAGTTAATGTTGTCTTGCGAAACACGTTTTCCCATAGGAATGCATTGAAATCTAATTAATGCGTTCCTATGGGCAAAAAAAAGGCAGAATGAAGTCAAATTTGGTTTACAAAGGGTTTATTAAGTGCTCTTTAAAGCCATACATATTGTGCAAATGATTTTAAAAATTTCAGTCAATTTTTTTTAACGTTATAAACATCATAGAAAAACATTTAAAAATCAGCAAACATGAGGCAGGAACAAAAAACAGAAAACATTCTTCTTACGAAGCACAGCCATAGGAACATCTGTCTTGCGAGTCATCAACCCCGCCATTGCCAAAACCATTTGTCTTGCAAGTTTTTTGACCTGCAAGGCATTTGACTTGCGAGGCACCACTGTACTGGAAAGTGGTGCCTCCACAATCGTGGCTTATGTCTGAAAACAATCTGACAGCCAGGCTAGGAAGGATTAGCTCACTGCTCAGCAACTTTTGTTGAGGACATTTTGGAGGTTGCTCATTCATGAGGTCACCCAAAGTCGGAGGCAACTTGATGGCACAAAAACCAAGAGCAGCTGCTCTTCAAATGCAGAACATAAAACCCGAACCGCTCTAAGATCAAGGTGACTCTTCCTCTTCCCCCAAAGCCACGCAAGTGACAGTTGCATTAGTTTGTTGGCCACAGATTCTTTAATGCTGCACAGATGAGAAGCCTGACAGCCTTGGACGGCAAGAACTTGGCAGGAGATGGGATTCCTAACGGGTTGGCTCGTGTTTCTGCTGAGCAAGCCTCAGGCTGTTTATGTTTTGTGCTAAATCTGGGGGCGAGGAGGGGAAGAGAGTGCCCAGTCAAGCCAAATTTTGCAGCCTCTCCCAAATGGTACCCAGACTAGCCTGACTTGCATCTTAGGGTCTGCAACTAATTAAAGAAATCAGTCAATGTATTCACTGAATTCCTCTTGATATATTAATCAATTAAACATTTAGAAATTTACACTTCAGAAGAAGAAAAAACTCATTGCCCTGAAGAAGAAAAAAAAGCATTTTTTAAAAATCTGACATGACCCACATCCTCTCAGACTTGCATATTTTCCTACTCTCACACTGACTAGGAAGAAATGTCTCGGGCTTGCCATTGGTACTTTAGAAAGTATTTTGTGGCTGTGCACGCACACAGATGTTAAAATTATGTACTCGCCGTTTTTCTGAGTGGTGGACATTTTTAGTGGATCAACACGTTTAATCAATCAGGGCAGCTCATTAATTTGCTAAGGATGGCAATCCGGCCGTTCCAATGGGGTAAAAACTCACAGTCCAGCGAAGATCCTCCATACGGCGGCCATTTTCGCTGCCTGTATAGCGAGGAATCCGTCCCTAAGCACAGCGGGGAGCCATTTTAAGCACCCGGTGGCCATTTTGAAAACCTGACGATCAGCTGTTTTTGGTCGTAAAGCGAAAATTGGTTCCCGAAGCAGGAAACCGATCGTCGCTAAGCGAAATTCCCCCATTTAGACCATCGCAAAAAGATAGTCATAAAGCAGATTTGTCGTAATGTGGGGCAATCGTTAAGCGAGGCACCACTGTAATTGCTAGATAGCTCAGGGATTTCAGGTCTCTGGCTGTGAAGCCAGCGGCTGGGTGTTCAATTCCCCACTGTACCTCCTTGACAAGAGCTGGACTCGATCCATAAAGTCCTTTCCAGCTTGGCAGTTCTAACATCATGATGATGGTGAAGATATTGCCTGTCTGTCTATTTTTCTTATGGACCAGAAAAAACTATTTTGGTTCTTTTGCAGAGGAAAGGGTGATACCCTTGAATGACAGCTCTATAAGCTTCCATCACGTGCCCTAACCATGTTGCTAATGGGCTTCCCTTTCATCCCTGCATGAAATGCCTCTTCAAGTTTCAATTGCTCTGCTCACTTGGATTCCCTTTTCATGGCAAAGCACTCCCCTGCTCCCCACGCATGCACGCACACACGCCATTTGCTTCAAATAAACCAAAATACTTACAGTTTTCTGATATAACCCACCGGGATTTAGGAAGACTGGCTCTGGGTCTCCTTTGTTTCCGTAATAGTAAATTACATCTCCCTTGGTGGTGCTAAAAGATAAAAATAGAAAAGAGTTCTCCATGCAACACGACAACGGGTAGCTTTGATTAATTTCTAATTTCATGCACCCCTCCACACAGCAAGACGTTCCCCCCTCCCCAGTTCAGAGATCAGCCAATTACATATCTTCTTTTCCTTTTAAGAAAAAAAAAGAGTCAGATGAAACATTTGGAAGGGAAGCACTGTTTAAAAAATACGTTTTCTTTAAAAAAATGTAGTTTGACAAGGATTAACATAAGCCACAAGGAGGGGGTTAACCCTTGATGGTAGTGTAACTTGTTAAGTTAAATGCAAAATCCAGAGAGCGACAGGTAGGAACTCATCGTTTCTGGCTGAATCTTGTCTCTTCCCCATGGAAAGCTCCCTAAAACAGCTTTTTAGGGAACACAAGAGACTGCCCAAATAAGGTGATCTGGTTGCCCTTCTCTGGCCTTGGGGCATTTTAAACAAAGCAAACAAACAAACAAACAAGGCATTTACCCAATGAGCATATTCTCACTTCCAGGAATGCATTGTATTAGTCTGGGAATAATCCCTCCACCAGAGGACCATCCCGTGCATAGAGTACCACCCCACCTCAATACAGAGTCAATATCTTCCTTTAAAACCTTATCTTGCACATATTCTTGTTTTGATAAATATGTCCATGGTAAATTCCAAGAGTCTTGCTGCCATGATCTGGAGAAGTGACTTCTGGAGACAATTCTTCCAGTGGCCTGGTCATCACTGAAAGAAGGATCCCAGTACAGTAGTTGAAAGTCTCCAAAGATAATTTCTCCAACCTCTGATTTCCACTTGCTTTAGGAATGGGGAAAAAGCAGGACCTCCACCAGTTCTCCTAAGAAGCAAGGTCCATCTCTCTTTGACTACCACCACCTTGCTAGTGCATCCTCAGTCACTATGAGGAGAAGGAGAACCTGTCTTTCTTCTCTCCCACCAGCCAACCCTTTTGAGGAACTATATTTCTCGAGTGTTGTCAAATGTGATTTGATTTTAAAAATCTTTCCAAGCCACCTTGAAAGCCTTAATTAGGACTTACGGCAACCCTTCTCAGGGTTTTCCAGGTGGAAAATACAGTGGCGTCTCGCTTGACGAGGATAATCCGTTCCAGCAAAATCGCTGTAGAGCGAAATCCTCGTCAAGCAAAATAAGAAAACCCATTGAAACACATTGAAAACCGTTCAATGCATTCCAATGGGCAAAATACCTGCTTGTCCAGCGAAGATCCTCCACAGGGCGGCCATTTTCGGGTGCCTGTGCAGCGAAAAATGCCTCCTAAAAACAGCGGGGAGCCATTTTGAAAGCCCGACAATCAGCTGTTTTGATCATCGTAATGCGAAGAATTGGTTCCCGAAGCAGGGAACTGATCGTCGGGAAGTGAAAAAAGCCCATTAAAACATCATTTTGCGATTGCAATTGCAATCACAAAAACATTGTCGTGAAGCGGATTCATTGTCAAGCGGAGTAATCGTTAAGCCGGGCACCACTGCTCTGAAGTGGTTGGCTTCCAGGGGGAAGAGCCAGCTTGTGTGACCTTGGCCAAGCTGCACAGTCCCAGCATGGCCTTGGAAGAAAGGAATGGTAAACCACTTCTGAGTACTCTCTAACTGGAAAATGCTGGAGAGGGTTGCCATGTTATGTGCTATCTAGTCGCTTTTCAGGAGCCTTGTGGTGCAGAGATTAAAACTGCTATACTGCAGCCAAAACTCTGCTCACAACCTGGGTTCAATCCCAGGTAGCCAGCTCAAGGTCCACTCAACCTTCCATCATTCTGGGATCAGCAAACAGAGTAGCCAGCTTGCTGAGGGTGGAATGTGTAGCCTGCATAATTAAGCTGTAACCCATCCAGAGAGTGCTTTAAGCGCTATGGGGTAATATATAAGCAGCACACTTTGCTTTTTTACTTCTTCTCACTTAAGGGAACCCTAACAGAGTTGTGGGAGGTGTGTAAGATGTTCACGGAGAGGTGTTATCACTCCCACCCTCCTTGTGAGTTTCAGGACGTGAGCAGAAATGTAAAGCCAGGTTTCTTACATCCTATTCTGACACTGTCCGCTACACCACATTGGCTCTCACAATAAAACCGCCACCCCTCTCTATTTTTGACATTATTTTGACATGCCGGCTGATGGATCCTGGGAATTATAGTCTGGAAACTTAACTTGTCCAAGCGTACAATGGGAAGCTTTTCAAATAGGCTCACAGAAGCAGTTAGAAGCACGTCAAGGTTGAATGCAAAGGAAAGGAAAGGGAACTGGACATCATTTCTGTAGACAGATGTGCTTTACTTTTGAAAAAGCAAGGGGGGAAATGGCAAAGCTACCATTAGATGGCTCACTCTCCGCACCCTTCAGTCCCTCCTGCCAACACGGAAAGCCAATTCCTTCAACTGCTGTTGGTTTATTGGGCTGGACAGCAGGATGAGATCATATCAGGCAGTATTTCATTCACGCGCGTCACTTACTATTTGCAATAACAAGGGGGGGGGGACATTTACCCAGACTGCCGACAAATGAAATACATCTGCAACTAAGATTTTAATTATATCCAAGCTTTTAGAAGGTGGTAACCATCTCTTTTCCAATAGCATGAGTCCTCTCATCCTTCTGTGTCGAATCTTTTTCTTTTTTTAAAGCAGCATAATTGAGCACACGCACACACAGAGAGCGCTTTTATACAGTCGATGAACAAATGTTTCCCGGCATTTCATTTCATCAGAGAATGGAAGGGGACAAACCGCTAGGGCTAGCAACAGCAACAAAAGGAAGCAGGGTAAAATCTCATCAAAGCGAACCGTAAGGCAACGGGAGCTTCAGCTGTCAACGTATGAACTGGCATCTGGTACATGCCATCTAACAAGCAAAAGTATTCTTTATTCAGCTATTTATAACTTAACCTATAGGCAGCATCTCCAGCGCAGACTAGGATGGAGGGCCTCCCTTCTGGGCTGTGGACAAAGCTCTCTTTCTGCACCTGCCCTCTGTAAGCGAGGGAGACCAGAAACAAGAGGGCAAGAGAAGGATCAAAAGCAGATTTTTAAAAAGCTAATGGAAGTCCTTGATCCTTACGATCTTCTCTATTTGCAGAAAGGATGCTGCTTTTCTACAGCTTGTTTGGATGTTCCCTGGAAATATAATTACTAGTTTAATTAACAATACATCATCCTCCCACCTACCTTCTCAGCTATTCAAATACTGTTTTCTTCCTGTTTCTTTTTCAGATGTTAAGGTAATGCAAGTTGAACATCTGCATGCATCCACATAAGGAATCGGGGAGTGTTTAATGCCTGTTTGGGTTGCTACATGCATTCACTGACCAGCGGAGTCTCCATATTGTTATTCAGTGCTTTACTTTCCTACGCTGGTAGGGGAGTCCAACCTCCCCCAAAGTGTTGGACTACAAAGCCCCTCAGCCCCTAATCACTACAAGTGATGCTGACTGACAGATGATGGGAACTGAAAACCAACACATCTGGAGAGTGCTACGGTGAGAAAAATCAGTTCTCCCCAGTGGAATTTTCAGCACTTACTGGGAAAAGCCAGTTTTCACCTCTATGGCAAATTATATTTACTGTATAGGAAATGTAATTTACAGACCTGGCAAACGTCTAGGCATGGAACATTCTTCATATGATTCTTTTTTTTATCATCCCCTCTCACGATTTCATCACACAAGACAGATTCTAAATTCAGTTTCTCAGAAAATGATAGATGGAATGACGGTTTATTGGAATCCTTTGCATTGTGAAACTGGGAGCATCATCGCTGAAATCCTATCAGGGCTGAAATGTAATTATTGCCACTGTAGAGTCCTTCCTAAGGTTTCTGCTACGGCTGGAAGAACTCACACAGAGATGCGCAATACATGGTCTACATATCCCAGCTCTTTTTGTGCTTCCACTGGAAGTTCCTCAATTTTTATCACCACCATCATCAAAACTATGCTCCTAGAAGCTTTCAGGAAAAATAAATTATGCCCTCATCCTTTGTGTGCCCCTCCCTCAATGAAAAACTGAGGGGCGGGTTGAAATCAGAAGTAGACGACTGGTTTAATCCAGGGGTGTGGGTGCGCATTGCCGTCTCCTAGTGGGTCCCACAGATCTGCCCGACTTGCCCCCTATCCAGGCCCCCGACTTGGCTGCTGTTTGGATTGCAACCATGCAAACGTATTTCTTCTCTGTTCAGGCTAGTTTGACATTTCCTCAGCTCCTTCTCTGGATCAGGCCTAAACTACACCCCACGTTAAGATCTATGTTTCCAACATCAAGTTTTAAAATACAGTGGTGCCCCGCATAGCGAGGTTAATCCATTCTGGATTAACCTTCGCTATGTGAAATCTTCGCTAAGCGGGAAGTAAAAAGCCATTGGAACGCATTAAACTTCATTTAATGCGTTCCAAATCGGCCCTAAACTTCCCACTTAGAGAAGTTTCCTGGCCCCGGGCAGCCATTTTCGCGCCCTTGGCAAGCGAGGGGAGGGCGCGAAAATGCCGCGCGGGGCCATTTCGGGTCCGTTTTGAAGCCGCAAAACAGCTGTTTTGCGGCTTCAAAACGGCCGCGGACGACCCGAAATGGCCCCGC